CACGAGACTAGACAAGGACATAAGCAGGGAAGATAAGGGAGAGGAGAAAAAGTGCGTCCGCCTCCTCCGAGAGCCAAAGAAGAAAAATAATATTATTAAAACTAAATATAAAGAAAATATACAGCACAGTAAGAAAAACAGAATGTGAATACAATCTCATACACATTGATTGTTGCCATTTTTACAGTACAGCTTTTCTTTTCCAGCAAAGTGCAGGTGTGATCAGCAATCCAGCAGAGGGAAGAGTTCACTCAAGTCGGCCTGCAGTGAAACACAGAAGGTTTAGTTTAAGTTAGCTGCAGCAGGAAAGGGTTAGGGTTCAAACCTGGAGATACTCAGAAGGTGATGCATGTTATGCATTCGATGTGTTGTGATTTACTCGCAACAGAGAGAAAACATTTAGGCTACGTTCACACTGCAGGCGAAAGCGCATCAAATCCGATTTTTTTTACCCTATGCGACCCATATCCGATCATGGTGTGACAGTGTGAACGGCACATAGTATCGGTGCATCCCTACTTTTTACCTGACACTGCATACGTTTTCGTTGCTATGCAGATGACACCAAGCTTTATCTATGACATTAAATGACACAAATTCAATAAACTAAAAACATTTTTTTAGATGACCTCTGAATTCTGAAACACTAAGATTGTACTCAACCCTAAAAAATCTCAGAAACCCTATTTACACTGGATGTCATCACCTTAGTCTCCAGCAAAACTGTGAGGAACCAGGATACATCATACAACATAAACATTAACCAAATATTGAACTGCTTTAAAATTACTTGAAATACACTGAGCATTAAATATTTTCAAATAATTTTTGATATGATTTATTTACTTTTGTTGAATTTTATTCTTCACTTGTGACCTCTGTAAACAGGATTCTGGTGAGTTTATAATCTTAATCTGTAGTTTAGAATCTCCATTAATAACTTAAAAGAGTGTGTATTATTTAATGACTTGTGACTGACAAGTTGTCAATGTCTTCAGTTTGCCAGTCAGGATTACACAAACATCTGATGCAAATTTTGTCTCTTTGCATCCCTATTTGAAAGTAAACTCAGGAATTATTAAAGTTTTCAAAACAAGACCAAGAGGCCATGCGGGTTTTCTCGGCCCTGGAATTCATCCATCCATCCGTTGACTTAACCACTTATTCAATTCAGTGTCAGAGGGGGGGGTCGTGATGCCAGAGCAGCCACAGAGCAACAGTCGGGGTGCACAGTCATCCAGTCAGTTATTTTATGATGAGAGATGAGATGATGAGATAGCCTTTATTTGTCAGTTGCAGGTCTTTTGCCCACAACCGGGATGACAGACCTTGCCGACCGTACATACAATACACAAACATCACATTGGGGAGACAGGTCAGGCTAGGTAGCGAGGAAAAAAACATCGAAATGCAGAGATTGTACTCAAGAATGTATTTTTCAGTGGA